GGCATCACCCCATTTCCCCAAGCCAGTGTCGCACTGCCAGGGGAGGACAGGTAGATAGAGAAGTAAACTTGAGCACTGTCCAAGTTCACCATTCGCTACCTGTGTGACCTTGGGCAAAGTGCATCATCCCTGCATGCCTCAGTTCCCTCATCTGTAGAATGGGGAGATGAACAGCGTCTCACTCACAGGGGCGGTATGTGAATGACATGAGACCCTGCACTGCAAGGGATATAGAAGAGCTCCTGGTCCCCAGTAAGGAAAGCTGTTACTACGGCTTTTGCTACTTTCCTGATCACTGTCAAATGAATTCCAGAAGCGGGTACCCTTGTTAACAGTATCTTTCACATGAGAAAACAGAAGCCCACAGGGCGCAGCCACTCACCCTGGGACACACAGCCAGATGCAGAACCCAGGTCTTGCTGACACTCTTTTCCCTAAGCCGGGGCTTCCTAAATCTTTTGGGGCCCATGACCTCCTAGAAAATCCGTTGGAAACAAAAGATCCTCTTGCCAGACACATACATAGACACAAACTGTATAATGCAATTTCCAGGCATTCCCAGCCCCTCTGAGGCCAGCCATACTGGGACCCAGGAAAACAAAATTCCACGGATTCTGAGCTAAAAAAAATCATCCCCATATTACATCTTGCCATATTCTACAGAGTGTATTCTTTTGTTCTTTGGAAAACAGTGCTGAAAAATGCAATAAGTAATTCAGACTCTTTGGCTCCAAACTTGCTGGCCACCTTCTTGCCTTCTCTTCCTGGTCCAGACAGGTGAGGCCAGCAGAGAGATCTAACACTCTGCTGTGCTCGGCCCTGACCCCTGTGGATGGTCCAGGCACTGTTCCTCAGGGCTGCTCCTGCCCCGAGGAAAACACCACCTCTACCACTGGCAACATGCCTTGACGTGTACGCAGATCGCTATACATGCTGGACATTCTCTGGTCCCGCCACATCCATCCGCGGTCCTGCTCTGTCCTGGGAAGGCTGAACCCTATTGAATGCGTCACAGGGACAATCTGGGCCTGTGGCTGACAAGTGGGATGGTCTGATGGGCGGGAGAGAGAGCTGCAGCTGTCTGATCCCAGCCCCTTCCTGCTGTGCTGCTGTCCTCTGGCAGCGGCTGTCCCTCCACGCTGCGGTGCCCACTGGTAGCTGCTCCTAGGCTCCTGACCTCACTGAACCCCAGGGATATCACGTCCTCCCGCTGCCCTTTCAGCCCCTGGGGAGGTAAGAGCTCTGGCGCTGCTCCCCTCTGGCGCCCCAGCATCCTGTGCTCCGTTGGCACTTCCTACACCCCTGTCAGCTGCCACTGCATGACAGGCTCTTTCTATGATGTGAATTCTGTTCCCTCCTGGGGCCTCGGCCCATCGCCTGTGGCACTGGGGAAGGGTCCCTTAGTTCTCATCTTCGACACACTTGGGGACCCCAGAGCTGATGTCCCCATCTAGAACCTGGGAGGGCAGGGCTCTTTCAGAAGGACTCAGGGGTGGAAACACGTGGCTTGGCTCTGACACTCAAGCCTGTCCTCAGGGGCCTCATCTCACCTCTGCATGTCGGCTTCCGCATCTGTGCTATGCAGACAATGAAACGTGCACATGACAGGGCCTTTTACGAGCACGTGCTGTGTCAATTCTGAAGGGCCAGCAGGGTTTGTCATTATGATTTGTTACTCATTCTCCCAATTTCTGGAAGGAACCCCACAGATCTTGGGTTCATGGTCTGGATGAGTCAGAAGGGCCAAAGCCATGTAGTCAGTAAACACTCACACACCCCAGATTTAATAAGGGCCTGGCCTTTCTTTTTCTTTCTTTTTTGTTTTTTTTGAGATGGAGTCTTGCTCTGTCACCCAGGCTGGAGTGCAATGGTGCCATCTTGGTTCACTGCAATCTCTGTCTCCCGGGTTCAAGTTATTCTCCTGCCTTAGCCTCCCAAGTAGCTGGGACTACAGGCGTGTGCCACCATGCTCAGCTAATTTTTTTTTTTTTTTTTTGTATTTTTAGTAGAGGCGGGGTTTCGCCATGTTGGCCAGGCCGGTCTCAAATTCCTGACCTCAGTGATCCACCCACCCTGGCCTCCCAAAGTACTGGGATTACAGGCCTGAGCCATCATGCCCAGCTAGGACTCTTTCTTGAGTGACGTTTGTAAGTATAACATGGTTGGAACAGGTGGGTGGGGTGGGAGGCTCTAGAGCAGGTCTGGAGTTCAAGTCTGAGCTCTGCCACTTCCTCGCTGCACAGACACAGCACTGCATGCAGCTGCTACAGTTACTGCGGAGACCGAGACAATGCCCATCTGAGGATGGCCCCTGGTGCACAGTGAGTGCTTAATAAACACTAGTTGTCATAAACCACTGCAGTGCTTGGCAGGCCTCAGTTCTCTCATCTGTGAAATGGGGCTAATCATGCCTATCTCATAGGGCTGCTGGGGAGTGAATGGGAAGATGCAGGTGAATGAACTGTCTTTGTTACTGTTACCATTCTGTCTGCCCTGTCTGGGGCTTGGCCTGGCCGGTAAGCAGCTGTGGAGAGCCAATTCCACAGAAATGATGCCGGCCAAGTCTTTCCACTGTGGCGAGGCAATAGTGCTGTCTTTGGAACTCAATTTATTGAAGGGGGCTTCTCTCTAAGGCTGGGCAGAACCGCTGAGCCTGCACTCCTCGGCTGGCCCGGGGAGTGGGGGATGGGGTGACAAGGGAGATGGTCGCCCCGCCTCCGCTCCGCTCTGGGGAGAGTTCCTTACACAAACATTTGCCCACGGGTGCATTTGGGCCTGTCAATGGTTGTCAATAAGGACAGGCTCTCTTTCTGCACATCAGGATTTGGGGCCTTATTGAGTTGTGAGCTTGCAACTGTGTATTTAGCCTTCATTTCTCTGGTTCCACATTTGCCTCAGCTCAAATATTCCCCACCCTGAGACTGGGCACCTGGCATGTGCCAGATATTGTCCTGGGCACGGGACCCAGGGAAGAACTGATCACTAACAGAGATAAGAACGACACAGCCCCCACATTGGGGAGGCATGGGTCCAGAGAGGATAACAAACCACAAAGAAGTAAGTTACAACAGGGCAAGAAAGCACAGTGACAGAGAAGTGTAGAGTATGGAGAGATTACTGATACCTGTGGAGGGGGAGGGAAACAGGAAGGCTTCCTGGAGGAGGTATCATTCTATCTGGGTTTTGATGGCATTTTCCATGTCAAAAAAGAAAAAAAAAAAAGTGAGGGGCAAGGCATTCTAAGCAGAGGGAACAGCATGTGCAAAGGCATAGAGTCCTGCCAGGAGTTTGGGGAACAATGAACTCTGTGGGAGGTGTGGTGGGAGGAAGGAGGAGTCTGGGAAGATCATGGGTGTGTGCAGGAGGCCATGTTCTAAGGGTGTGGCAGGCTGGGCTAGAGTCAGGGGGCTTCCCTGCTGCTTTTTGGAGATCCCACTGTGGGGGACGCAGCCCTGCTGCATCGCTGAGACGCTGCTTCGCAGAGTCGTTTCGCCCTAAGCAAGACCGGCGGCCCCACCGGAAGACGCCCATCTCCATAAACTGTTCCCAAGGTGCTGCCTGGTTCAACAACAGAGCCGTATGGTCAGGATAGAGGGCAAGCACTCCTGGCTCCAGGTTCTATGTCTACACAGAGGAGTGGGGTTGGGGGATGCTGGCTGCTAACACCCCCCTTTTGTGCCCCGGTGACATCCTTGGCCCTGAGCTGCCCCACAGGGAAGGGGATGGATGAAGGTACAATGGCAGCTCCATCCAGCAAAGCACCTGAGACCCAGGCGACAATGAGGTGGGAGGAATGCGGTGGCGTGCCAGGAAGACCTGAGAGCACCTCAGGTGGCACCACAGACAGAACTGTCCCCCATGACGGAGCCTGGCTTTTCCGGGCACGCAAAAGGTAGAGAAGCTCCCTAGCTGGATGACGCACACTAAGGAAGCAGGATCCAAAGTAGGTGGGAAGCCGGCAGCTACCCTTTTGCTGCGGGCCCAGGCCGTAGCGGAAGCACTTCTGTGACGGGTGGCGGAGAGGTGGGATGGGGTTCAAGGTCAAGCACCCCTTGATATCCCAAGTTTTGGGGGAGCATACTGGACAGCAAGGGGCACCTGCCATGCCTTCCACGTACCCAGGGCGGAGCGATTCTCAGCGCTCTCTCACCCCCTCCTCACCTGACTCACAACAGCCTCCTGGGCCGACCTCATCTGCTCCAGCCATGCCGGCCTCCCTGTTTCTCACACACACTGAGCTTGCTCCAACCTCGGGGTCTCCCCTGCCTCTGGCTTCCTGCTTGGGCGGCCCTTTCTTGGGTACAGATGTCATCTCTGCAGTGAGGCCTCTCTAGTCCACCTGAGGAGGAATGTGTCCCAGCCTCTTTGACCTGAGCCTAGGGCCCTGCTTGTCCACTGCCACGAGGGTACATGAGGGCACAGTGGGCACTCAGTATTTTCTGGCCACCACCTGAACTGTCACTGAGGCCACATGATGCCACCAAGCTGGGTAAGAGGTGAGTGAGACCTGCGGGTATCAGGGCCCCAGCAGGAAGTAGATGGTCCTCCAACGAGGTCACCGAAGAAAGCGAGCAGCAAGAATGTGGCCCCCCAGGAAGGCTGTGAGCATCTCTGCCCTTCGGACGCTGGAATCTGGACACAGAGCACTGTGAGGACAGGGCCAGCAGCCGTGAGCTGTGGCCTGGCAGCCTGGCAGGCAGGGAATGGATAAACACTCTGACCTCCGTCTCTTGCTGCCAAGGCCCCCAGTGACCCAACCCGACTGCACCCTGAGAGCACACAGGACATGGATGCTTTTGCACAGACCAGGCTCCCGGCAGGGACTGCTCCAGGCTGGTGGAGGCAGGTCTGCGGGACTGAGGGGGGATGTCCAGCAGGAGGTGCTTGGCAGCCCTTGTGCCACAGCCTGCTGGGTGGACAGCAGTTCTCTCAGAAGCCCCACCCACCTCTTGTGTTCCCCAGGGGCCCATGAATCAGCCACAAGACCTTCCGGCTCCTACCGTGAAAGTGTGCAGCCGTCTTCCGCCGCAGGGCCTGCAGGGTCACCTCAGCATCGGCCCACTCCAGCACCAGTCTCCGGCCGTACAAGTGGGTGCTGTGACACAGGGCGTTGAAGGCTCTCTGCAGAGGAACAGGAAACAAAACTGCACATCAGCTAGATCAGCGTGCCAGACACTCCACTCTGCCCGCCAGCTGCCTGCCCACGGCACAGATGCCCAAGCCCAGGTTCTGGCCCCGTGACATCTGATCTCCAGCGAGGGTTTGGGGAGTGGTTGGGAGCATCTATTTAATTAGTGGGTTGCGTTCCCAGGGAGAAAGCTGCAAGTGGCTGAGCAGTCAATATATCCACCGTCTGGACCATAATTGGCGCCTGGGCCGAGGCAGTCGTCTATTTGCAGCGTGTCATCCGATCTGCAGAGGGCGACCCCATTAGTGGGCTCACCTCCCACCTGGCTGTCTGTATGGCAGCCACTTGAGAAAGCCATGCCCTGGCCAGCCGCCGATGACAAGCATATAGGCCCCTGGGTGTCGCTTGGTGCTGCTCTCCTTCACTGCCCTGGTAACTGTCCCCCACATTGCTCTTGAAGGGGCCCCTTCTGTCCCTGCTGCCAGTGCCCTTTGCCTCCTCGCTGGTCCCCCGGCCCTTTGCTTCCAGCCTGGGTCCTGGCGCAGGCTGTTCCCGCCCACTCTTTGCTGTTCCCGACCCCCACATGCTGCCTGGTTCCCTCTTTCTACTTTTTAACAGCTATTCTGAGATAGAATCCGTATACTTCATATACCACTTGTCTGAAGAAGACAATTCAGTGGGTTCTGGTATTATCATGGAGCTGTGCAAAATGTCACCATATCAATTTTACAAGGTTTTCATCAGCCCCAAAGGAAACCCCACACCCCTTAGCTAGCAGTCCTCCAGCCCCTGGCAACTACCTGTCTGGTTTCTGTCTCTGGATTTGCCTATTCTGGACATTTCATATGAACGGAATCATACGGAAGTGATCAGTACCCTCTTGAACACTGCTAGGTCTCAAGTTCAACGGCACTGCCCAGGGACGTCCTCTCTGACTTGATGGGCTCATCCAAAACACCCCCATGGCACAGGGAGGCTGTGAGCTTAGTAGCCAAAAGCCTGGAGTCTGAGGTCACCCTGCCCAGGAAGGGCAGACCCTGCAGGTCTTAGCTTGAAGATCTTGGGCAAGCTAAAGAAACTGTCCTGGACTCTGCTTCCTTATCTACACAATGGGTACGTGCACATAGGCCAATCTCAGGGGTTTCCAGGACAAAAACGAGTTCACACAGTGTCTAGAACAGTGCGGGGTCACTGTGATTGCTCAATACACGTTGCTTCTCGCTGCGTTTTTTTTACTGTAGACATGACATTTGCAGTTGCTTTCTCTCCGCAGAGAGCTTTTGGGCAGGCATGGTTTAAACAGCACTAGGCCCCAGGTGCTCGAGCGCTGGCAGTGGAGAGCAACGGTGGCTAAGGAGGTGCTTTGCTCTGCCTCTGGGTTGCAGAGAGCACCAATGGGTGCAAGCAGAGGGGGGGCTTGCTGCTCTTGTTTCTTTGATGCCGTGAGGCATCATGTAACCGGAAGGGTCTGGATGGGAATCCATCCAACTGTGCTCCTGATCTACAACGTGGCTCTTACGGTTGGACCACGTCCCACAAGAGGAGACAGGTTGGGTCCTAACCCCATGAACTTCAGAACGTGACCTTATTTGGAAATGGTAGTTGCAGAGGTAATCAGTCAAGATGAGGTCACACGGGAAAATGGCTGGCCCTGAGCCAATGACGGGTGTCACCGGATGGCCACGTGAAGACAGAGACATAGGGTGAATGCTGGGGACGGGAGGTGCGGGGTGGAGGCAGACACTGGCTGATGAGTCTACAAACCAAGGATGCCAGCTATCCCTAGCAGCCAGGGGAGGGCACCACGAAGGTTCCCCTTGGAAGGAACCAATCCGGCCAGCACCTTGATTTTGGATTTCCAGCCTCCAGAACCGTGAGACACATTTCTGGATTCTTAAAATGTTCTCTAAGGCAAGGTCTCGCTCTGTCACCCAGGCTGGAATGCAGTGGTGTGATCATGGCTCACTTCATCCTCAGACTTCTGGGATCAAGAGATCCTCCCACCTTGGCCTACCGAGTAGCTGGGACCAGAGGCACATGCTACCATGTCTCGCTAGGTTTTCAATTTTTGTAGGGATGGGGTCTCCCTACATTGCCCAGGCTGGTCTTGAACTCCTGAACGCTAGTGATCCTCCCGCCTCAGCTTCCCAAGTGCTGGGATTACAGGCCTGGGCCACTGTACCCGGCCCACTTCTGTGGTTTGAAGCCATCAGTCTGTGGCATTTTGTTACAGTTGCCCTAGGGAACTGACACAGTTGGGTAATCATCTGCCACATCTTGAGCCTCAGTTTCCCCATCTGTGTTGGGACTGGCTGTGGGACATACACAAAACGAGCATGGAGGGCAGCACATAGTATACAGTCAATAAACAAATGAATCCGAACAGACGGGAGGGAGGTGACTAGAACATGCATCTTTTTAAAACTAGACATGCGGCCAAATTAAAGAAATGCTTTGTTCTCCTCCGTGCTGTTCTGAGGAGGGCCAGGTGCAGAAAACTTTTTCTTTCCTTTTTTTTTTTTAACTTTAATTTAAAAAAACTCTGACTGCCAGCAGAGCCTCTGCATTTTTTTCCATGTGGATATAAAAATGCATCTGGACTCCGAGCCGAAATGGCCCATTCAGAGCTTTAAAACACACGCGTTCTCAGCTGGCGAGGCAGAGAAACGGCTTGACTGGGGGTGCTGGGGTTTTAAGATGAGGGAGAGGAACTGGTGGGGAGTCTGGGGTGGCGGATGTTCCATCCTCGTGCCAGGGTCCCCGAGGAGTTGTGGTCCCTGGGACACGATGGGGTGGGGGTGGCCAAGGGGATGCATCTGGTGAATGCTAGGCTGGAACTCCGAAGAATGGAGAAAGATCCCAGGAGGTAGGTCTGGGTGAGAGGCCCCAGCCCCAGCCTCTCTGATTCCTGCTATCAGATTTCCATGTTTCGTTCTCTCCCTTGGAAACCACTTCTCCATTCCAGTGCCACAGAAAGCCCAGGGAGGTCTCCATTAATTGCAGTAGTTACTAAAAATGCCCTCTCCTGGCTTCTTTGTGATATCACCTCTCACAAATGTTCATCTCTCCCCTCTGCACTTCTCTGACATGTTCTTGGCTTCTCTCTGGAAGAGCTCTTCATTCTAAGAGGGTTGGTGGCATGGCAGTTTAGAGGGTAGACTCTGCTGCTGGCCTGCCTTGGTTCAAATCCCTGCTCCAGTGCTTACGAACTGTGTGATCTCGGGCAAGCTGCTGAACCTCTCTGGGCCCAAGCTTCCTCATATGTAAAAGAAGGGCAGCAGCAAAGAGTAGTGAGAATTCAGAGAACTGTGAAGTCTGACACTTAGAACGCTGCCTGGCACATAACAAGAGTCACTTAAGATTGGCTGTTATAATGATGTATGCTTCCATTTTTTCATTATCCTGCTAAAGAGCAGGGACAAGGGAAGGTAAGACACAAAAGCTCTTGTATTCGAGGTTAGAGCGCAATGCGTGGTTCTCCAAAAATAGCAGAATTACCCTGCCGCGTTCTAGTCCCTGCAGGTTAATATGAAATCAGGTTGTGTTCCCGAGTGCCCACTACCTGGGTGGCTGGAATGTGGTGGCCTCAAACTGTCGCAGGCGGTGTGAGGACAGTGATTTGAGGCTAAAATTGGCCTTGGATAATCCAGAGTAATTGTGTTTCATTAAAAGAGTGTAAGGAGAGCTTGTCATATTTGACACATTCTAGGAGGCAAGGCAGGTGGGGACAGGAGGAGGAAGATGCGGGCCCGGGCCTCAAGGGGCTTTCGTGGCACAGGAAAGACTGAGAGGAGCTTGGAAGGTTCCAGGCACCACAGAGGGCAAAGTGCAAGCCAGAGAGGTCCACCAGCAGCTCCCTCCTTGGTCTCTGCCTACACTTGACCCCACTGAAACTTGACCTCCACCTTCCCCCAAGTGTTTTTCTAAATCTCAGCTGCAGGCATGTGCTCCTCTGCCAAAACAGCCCCCAGGTTTGTCTGTCTCAGGAGACTGAGGAGTTACTGGCCCTCTGCTCCTCTCCAAGTCTGGCTCTTGCTGTCTGATTTTCTTTTTGTGGCATCAAAGGCCGTCTTAGCATGGATGACCCTATCTCCTAGCTCCATGGAACTCCAAGTACATGACCTCAGCCTACTCCTGAGAATAGACATTATTCTCCCATTTCAAAGAATGGGAAACTGAGGCACTGGCCAAGGTGTGTATGCAGGTCAACTTCCTTCTCCCTCTTCCTTTTGGCTTCTACACATTGTCTCTGGGCCCCTTGGACAGACGGCCCAGGGAAGGGTCTGCCTCTCCTGCATAGGCAACAGCCAAGCACCCTCCCTGTGCCCAGAACATCCGCCTCCACTTCCAGAACCTGCTCCTGCCCCATAATGCTTTCTGTGTGCCAGTCTCCCTGACTCGACCTTGAACCCTGGAGGGAAGGTGTTCCATCCTTAAGATCCTCAGCCTGGTGCTGGGCAGAGCCCATTCAGTCCATGTCCGCAAAGCACGCTATGGCGTCTCTTTCACTAGGGGTCTCGAGAACACGTCTCCAGACTGGGGTAGATGGTTAGGCTGGTCCTAGCTGGGGACGGAGGGATGGCTGACATGTCCTGCCACAGTTCCCTTCAAACCCTTGCACTTTATAGACCACAAACACGGTGGGGACAGGAGTATGTCCCGTTCCGAGAGAGCAGGCAGTCCCCGACCATCTAGACGAGTGGGACATTTGGCCTTTTGAAATGATACACAAATAAAAATTGGGTCTGGCTCTGCTCCCAACATGCCTGGCTTGGCGCCTTGCAAGATGGGAACAGTAACCTGCACCCCTAGGGCTCGAGAGACCGCACGTCAGACCCCCAGCTGGCTTGCTGGAGAGGCCTGAAGATCCAGCACAGAACCCCGAGGATGCAGGGGTCCAGCAAAACGAATGCTACAGAACAGAAGCCCCTCCCGCCCTTGGGAGCACTTCCTGCCATCAAAGATGGCCCGCGCTGGTTATTCCTGGTCCCCC